TACTAGGCAATCGCATTTGGGAGAATAGGAGTGGAAAAAAATTAATAAATAAAAAATCTATGTAGCTCTCCCAAATAATGTTAATTTGAAAGCATTCCTTTTTCACAAACACATCTAAGACATGAAGAAATTTGCACAACCTTAAAATAGCATTCATTGCTCAGTAAAACACAGATTCATCCTCATTTTAAATAGTAAAATAGAACAATTTTAATTTGGAGGAAATCAAAACTACGGCACTGAGAACAAAAAGTACAGGTTGATCAGCAAAACATACTGGTGTGCTTTCTATTTGAATTTCCATTTATAGAATACTTATATAAAAAAAATTAAAAGCAGATAATGACAGCTGCTTATGTTTTTGGTCGTAATTTCACATTATAGTTCATTTTACCATCATTACTATTCAAAACCATTGGCAGGAAAACAGAATGACTAATGCCAATCATGCTACTGTACAGTTGTTTGTGGATGGTGGGTGAGGGATACAGAGAAGCTCCATGTGCTCAAGCTTAGGCAGGAAAAAGCATGCACGCCTGCACTGAAAGTGTTCGCTTGGGTTCTCCCAACTATCAGATGCTTATTGCACGGGCTTAAAAGAAAAGTTCACCTCAAAATCATAAATACATATTTTTCCTCTTACCCATAGTGTTTTTGGTGTGAGTTCCTGAGTTTTGGAGATATCTGTCATAGAGATGTCTGCCTTCTTTCTACTATAATGGAACCAGATGGCACTAGGCATTGCTGTGCTCAAAGTGGCAAAAAAAATATTTTAAAAAACTCAACAGCAATGTCTTAATCATTTGTTCCTACTGAACTACCCCCACCAACCGTATCTGAGTGTTGGCTATCTCAGTGGTGGTAGGTGAGCTAGCTAACATCATAGCGTTTCAGCTCAGCAGTCTTTATTATTATTACTGCGCTGTCACGCTGGCACGAGACTCTCGTCTGTGACTGGGTGCACGCTTCCTTTCTGTGAGTGATATATACAAAGGAAATAGTTCTTACATGAAACTGCTCACAACAAGGTCTGTGGATTAGCTCGAGGAACCGGGGTTATAGCCCTGCGAAGTGTATTTACCAGTTTCAAATGCAAGAGTAACTAGTTTGTCTTGTGCCAGCAGAGGGCACTCACTATCAGCTTGATTTATGGCATGTCCTACTGACCTGTCCGTTAACTAAGCTAGTAATGTTATGTTTTTTACTCTAAAAATGGAGAACACTAGCGAGCAAAGCATGGAGCAAAACTGTCCTGAGCAGATAATCGCACTTGCTATGTTGCCTATGTTAGCTTGCCACCCAAGTAAGGCAAAGGAGCGGAGGCACCACACACGAGCAGAGCTTATGGCCCCTTGCCAGAGGCCCATCAATAAGAGAGCTAGATCCATATGTAGATATGTGGCCCATTGGTGTGGTAAGAGTGAATGTCTGATCCTTTAGTATAGTTTTTACATTGTGTTTTTCTGAGTGGTGACATATATGTGTACTATGTGTTTGTAGATCATTTTTTTAACAAACACACTCTGATGAACTTTGACCACTGCACCATTGCTTCAACACCTGACATGTCTATTATTAGGTATGCCACCCAACCTCCTACATTTCATCTCATGAAAATCTGATATTTATTGTAACTGCCACATACTGGCGATAGTCAGCTGATCAGAATCAATTAGTGACAAAGAATCCTGGATGGTCAGGATATAAATTAAATTACCACTACCTGGAAATACCACACTAAAGATAAACTGGCATCAACTTCTTGTTCCTGTAACATTCTCTTATATATATATATATATATAGTATATATGTATAACCTTGATACTACCCTCTTGCTGCTTAAGCTGTGCTGAATGATGCTAATTATTCTGCCGCTCACATTTGCTTAAGTTCCTGTTGACAGTGGCTTTCTTTATGTGTGAATGATACTGCTTTGCCCTTGACTGTCTTAATAATACAACCCTGTAGAAATAAAATAACACCCTAGGAATTTTGCCAGCTACAGGAAATCACTGAGATGCGGCAATCTTTCATTTAAAACATATTGCTAGGATCACACTAATGTCATTTTCCCAGCCTTAAAGCATTTAACCCTCTGTGAGTTGGCTCGCAGCACAATTTCGGGACTCATGAACTGAGATGGAAACGCTTACTGCACCGAGCTGGGATGAAACCTGTGTGTCACTGTTAGAATCTCTATTTGTGGGGCAACTTTTTGTGGGTGACTTGAAGTAATTTAACCTTCAGAGTAATGTCACAAATATGGCAATGTGAGATACGGACTTCCAAATAGCAGTAATGGCAATATTACATATATTAGATCCTTGTTTATGTGGCAAAATGCAGGTTCCCAACACTGTAATTTATTTAGAAATATAGGAGTCTATTGATTGATAAATTAGCTGAATCAAAGCTGCATTTTCACACACAATATGTTCAAATAAAAATAGCAGCGCCTACCAGTTTCAGCCTGTCTACTCTCCCCATTATGTAGATCAAATAAGAGGTCAACACCACAGCCGCCCTCCTCTCTCCAGCCTCCTGGAAAAGGCTTCCTGCCGCTGGCCCAACCTCACCAGCCAGCTACCCTTCCAAGTCTCAGCATTGGTGCCACTCGGGCGATGAGGAAGTTAGAGGAGTTAGAGAGGCTCCTCACTTGCAAGGCAGTGGGTCCTCACAGCGTCAGCATCAGGGTGCTCCGGGCATGTACCGGTTAGCTGTCAAATGCGCAGACAATGCTATCAAATACCAGCTCCAAGGGCCTTATTCCCACCCGCAGAAGCTGGGAAGCAGGATGAGAATGATGTCCTTTGATTTCTCTAGTGCTTTCAACACCATCCAGCCTCTGCTTCTGAGGGACAAGCTAAAAGCGATGCAGGTGGATAGCATGGTTTCCTGGATTATGGACTGACTAGCTCACTGACAGGCAGCAGTTCATCTTCCTCCAGGGCAGCGTATTGGATACACTGCGGAGCGCCCCGGGTAACTGTATTGTCAGCTTTCAGCTTTTCAAGTTCGCTCTCTACACCTCTCCTTTTAAGATTCAAGTCAGGGTCATGGCAGCTTCACAAGTTATTTGATGACTCCTCTATTGTGCGGTGCATAGGTTAGGGTGAGAAAAGGAGAACACGAGCCTGCCTGAGGAGTACTGTGGTCCAGCCTGTCACCATCCAGGGTAAGGGGAGTGAAATGGTTGGTTTCAGTGGCTCCAACAGACTGCTTAACAAGTTCTACTAATCAGTGCACATTTGTAATGGCTGAGAATGGAGACAGGATTAACAGCCTGGCTCTTTTCACTGAGGGTGCACAGAGCAAAGGAGAGAAGATGAGGATGAAACTGAACTCCAGTGGTGATACAGCGCTCGCTCACCTTCCACCTCGTATACCCAAGGTGCAACAGCAAGCTGTTCAGCTGGTCGTCTGTGTCAGCAGTCATCAGACTGTGCAATAATTCTAGTCCAAGTAGCTCATATCTCAGCCAGCTTGGAGCCAGCTGAACTGCACTGCCCTGCACTGACAGCTTGAGGTACTGAACGTGCAGCCCCCTTTTTATAGGCATGGTGATGTGACTACATTCACATTAGTGCTGCACATTCACATGTCTGCTTTCATAGCATATCATTTGCTGATTGTAAAACTAAATAAGCAATCAAGACACTTATTAACATCTGTAACACCATACAGTGTGTTCGGCATATGTTGGAAATCACAGCTTCACATTTACCACATTGTTTTCATCTCCTCTCTGCTGTCTGTGATGATACTTTCTACTACATGTATGTAGTTTTTTTCCTATTTTTTCTTTATTGATTCTTATTAGCTTTACTGCTGATCACTGCAGTATATATATATATTTTTTTCTTTATTTAAATAGAATAAAAGATTATGTTCTGACTGCCGACCTGTCCAGGGTGTCTTCTGCCTTGAGTCCAGTGTCAGGTGGATCCCCCATGACCCTCAAGGATACGATGGACTGTATGAGGACTGTATATAATTGTTGTTGTGTTTGTTTAAACAATCAAGGGAACTACAAATCTGAAATTCATGATAAAACCATGTGTTGTAAAATTACAATTAAATTAGCTTGTATCTGACTATTATGTCTACATATTGCGATATTCAAACCTTTTCCACCTGCATTACAGTCAAATAATGATGTGGCAGTTTATCCCGCACATATAAGGAAACACAATGTTTGTACAGTGTGTAGGCTACAGTATGCATGCGTGTGTGAGTGTGTGAGTGTGTATTTGTGTGGGTGGGTTGGTGAAGCGGGGCCCTATCTCACATCCTTTCACTGAGATTCTGACTTTCTATCACCACCCCTGGTCTATTCATATACAGCGAACGCACAATACAGTTTATAGGCGCACATACATATCACAGCGAGGAGGGAGAAGATAAGAAAACACCATTACATGTGATAAAGACAGTAAAACCCTGCGCGGGAATATTACGGTCCAACTGGAGATATATATGATTAAGTGTGATAACACTGTAGAACCATGATAAGTCCTCATGAGAGCGTTATAGGATTTATCTTTTACAGAGGGTTAACTGATATAAACTGCCAGAAATGTCTGTCTTCCGAAAACATTTCCTCAAGTGTAAGAAAACCAACGCAGCCCTGAAAATGAAAAGTCATAATTGCATTTGTGTCACATACTCAAACCAATGCGTGCACAACCCCTCCCGATGCTGAGTATCTCAGCTCTGTGCATCCTCAACAACACATTAACCAGCCGAATCAATAACATTCAAGGGCAATGAGCAGGAGAGGCTGCACACAGTTTTTAGCCTCATGCCATAACTTGCGAATGGCACGCATGCAGCATGTGTAGTTCCAATTCAGAGAAAAAGCGAACATTTGCGCGTTTTTAGATATGGTGACCTTTAGTAACTCCTGGACCGTTGCGCTTGGTTGGTCTGTGTGGACCGACGCACGAGAGGAGACATCCTGATATTGGTGATGTGATAATGAAATATAGTGAAAGACTTACTTTAAGACGGCGCTGTCCCCCTGTCTGACGGTGATGTTGTCCTTTAGTACAGAATCCCCGCTCCTGGCTGGAACTCCTGCAGGTACAAGGAATAACAATTTAAGTCCGAGGACGACAAGGCTTTTCCCAGGCACCGCCAAATAGCCACAAATTCCCATGTTTTTCTGACACTGCGCAACTTCCAGGAAAACTTGAACCGTCGGATATTCCCTTCTCGCGTCTTGAGCTGCGAATTCCGCTCCACAAACAAGATGCGGTGTCGCCTGTGCCGAGCTGCGGACGACCTGCTTTTTGCTCCAAGTAAACAGGCTTGTTATGAAATACTGTCCGTGTCGATAAACGCAAAGGGGGGGAAAGTGTCTCTCCGCCCGCCAGCCGCTCTAGGAAACTGACTTCGGAGGAGAGAAAAGCTCCGTGTTTGTGAGAGGACTGCGCACAGCGTCCTCCGCTTCAAACTGTAATCGCCGTGAAATGGATGCTCTCGGAGAGATGCATCAGCCAAGTCTCCTTGTGTGTGTTTTTCTCTCTCACTCGGTGTTCTCTCTTTTTTGCTTGTCTGGGAGAGAATTGTGTAAAGCTGTGGACACTCAAAGCAAAAGGCTGAATTCGCTCATGTATCTCTTTTTTTCGTTAAGTAGGCTACAGCTCCTGGAGTACTCTCTCTCTCTCTCT